GGATCAGCAGTTCGAAACTACCAGCTGTTCTGCGGGAGAAAGATGAGGCTTTCTGCTCCTGTAAAGATTTACAGTCTTGGAAACCCTGTACAGGGTCGCTATGGGTCAGAATCGACTCGACAGCACTTAACAACAACAACAATAACAACACTTTGTTTCGTCTCAATGATTGCAATCCCCTCCATGCAACAACAGTTAAAATGATTCCTACCTGTAGTTTCTATTTGCATTCCAACCACCTTTCCATTCCTTCTCAACTTTGTCCTTTGGAACATGTTGCCCTTTTGATTTTGAATGATTGACCATTCCATGGTGAGCATACCTTACTAGTGCTGTTGTCCCCCACCACCACACTGGCTGAAATGGGGTGATGAGGATGAGTTTCTTTCCAGACATGAAGAGTGGCTGAGGAAGTCTCAGGTTCCTCTAGTCTCTTTCTGACCAATAAACCCAGTTTTGTTTTGTTCTTTAAATAATTTTGAGTTTTGTTCCACATTTCTTCCACTCTATCCAGAACCCTCTAATGTGATCCCTTTCAGAGGAGTTGGTATTGGTAGCTAGGCACCGTCTAATTCTTCTGGTCTCAGAGTCAGAGAGATTGATATTCACATGTTCCATTAGTTCACTGGACTAATGGATTCCAACCCTCTTCAATTCTTATCACTCTTCTTTCTTCTGCACATGGAGAGAGACCGATAGTTGCACCTTAGATGGCCACTCATGAGCTTTCAAGATCCCAGATGCTACTCATCAAAGTAGGGTGTAGAACATTGTCTTTGTGGACTGTTATGCCAATTGGCCATGGTATCCCTTGAGACTATGATCCTGAGCCCCTGGGCCAAGCAACTCATTGCCTTAAGATGTTTGACAATATCCAAGAAGTTCTCATCATTTTGCCCACTTACGCTCCACCACACTCATAGTTGTGTTTGCACAAAAGGTAAATACTCATGTACAAAGATACCCTTCCAAACTCTTCTATATTTGTGGGATATGTGTGCGTGTATATTTATATATCCCACTCTTCCTACTTTACCCATTCAGCCTATGTTTCAGTCCATGTATATCTATGCACAGAACACTGTTGTTTGTGTATCGGTATTTATCTCCATCCCCTTTAGCCCATGCATATCTCTCTGTGTCTTCATCATTCTTCTGCCCCCTCCCTCTTTTAATATAGTGTCCTCCCTCTTCTTGTATATTGCCCTCCCTGTCACCCAAGCCCACATGCATATCTACCCTCTAGCTAGTGAATTACTCTTCCTTCCATTCCACTTCTGGTAACCATCAAAGAATGCTTCTTTCAGCATGAAAACCTTTGAGTTTTGACAATAATGGCATTATATAATATTTGTCCTTTTGTGATGGACTCCTTTCACTCAGCATAATGTCCTCCAGGTTCATCCATGTTATGACGTGGTTCTCAGATTCATCATTATTCTTTAATGTTGCACAGTATTCCATTGTTTATCTATTCTTCCATTGATGGGCATTTAGGCTGACATCATCTTTTTGCTATTGGGAATAGTGCTGCTATGAACATCAATGTGCATCTATTAACACCTGTCCTGGCTCTTATTTCTTGTGGATATACATCTGGTAGAAGGATTGCTGGGTCATAAGGCATTTCTATTTCCAACTTTATGAGGAAGCGCCGTACCATTTTCCAGAGTGGTTGAATTATTTTACAGTCCCACTAGCAACGTAAGAGGGTCCCAGTCTCTCCACACCTCACTAGCATTTGCTGCTTTCTGGTTTATTTATTTATTTATTTTTAACTTTGCTATTAATGCTGGTGTGAGATGATATCTCACTGTTGTTTTGATTTATATCTCTCTAATTGCTAATGATAGTGAACATTATCTTCATATGCTTGTCTGCTCATGTCCTGCGCCCATTTTTTTTAGTTGGGTTGTTTGACTTTTTCTTGCATTGCTGTCGTAGAGAAGTTGTAATTATCTATAAATTTTAGATATTCGTCCCTTGTCTGACATGTCGTTGCCAAAACATTTTTTTTTCTAGTCTGTGGACTCCCTTTTTACTCTTTTGGTGAAATCTTTTGATGCACACAAGTGTCTAATTTTTAGAAGCCTGTCATCTACTTTGTCTTCTACTGTTTGTGTGTTTTTAATAATTTTGGTAGGTTATTTATGTATTGTTGTTGTTGTTGTGAAGTGCTATCCAGTGGATTCCAACCCATAGCGACCCTGTATAGGGTTTCCAAGGAGCAGCTGGTGAGCTTGAACTGCTGACATTGCAATTCAAACAGCTTTGCAGTCTGGCGCATTAACCTACCACACCAGGACTCCCATTGTTGTGTTGTTAAGTGCGATGGAGTCGATTCCAACCCATAGCGACCCTGCATAGGGTTTCCGAGGCTGTAAATCTTACGGGAGCAGAAAGCCTCATCTTTCTCCTACGGAATCACTGGTAGTTTCAAACTGCTGATGTTAAGATTAGCAGCCCGTCTCGTAACCACTACACTACCAGAGCTCCCAGGACTCCCACTGTTGTTGTTGCTGTTAAGTACCATGGAGTCGTGACCCTGTACAGGGTTTCCAAGGCTGTAAATCTTTACAGGAGTAGAAAGCCTCATCTTTCTCCCACAGAACAGCTGGTAGTTTTGAACTGCCCACCTTGGGGTTAGCAGCCCGATTCATAACCACTATGCTACCAGAGCTCCTTCATATATTTTCACTGATGATCTTTAGTTCTAGCTTTTACGTTTAGGTCTTGAATCCATGTTGAGCTTGTTTTTGCATATGGTGTAAAATATGGTTCTTGTTTCATTTTTCTGTAAATTGATTTCCAGTGTTGCCAGCACCATTTGTTGAAGAGACTATCTCTTGCCCATTTTATCTGTTTTGACCCTTTGTCAAAGATCAGCTAACTGTATGTAGATGAATTTACTTCTAGAATCCCAATTCAGTTCCAATGATCTATGTGTCTTTCGTTGGACCAGTATCAGGCTGTTTTGACCATTGTGGCTATGTAGTAAATTTTGAGATCAAGGAGCGAGAGGCCTCCAACTTCGTTCTACTTAAGCAGAGCTTAGCTTATCCATGGTATTTCCTTTCCATATAAAATTGTTGTTGTTGCTGCTGCTGTTTTTAAGCACCGTACAGTTGGTTCTGACCCATAGTGACTCTGTATAGGGTTTCGGAGGAGCAGCTGCTGAGGTTAATCACCGACCTTGTGGTTTCAAACCACCTTTGTAGTTCATTAACCTACCAGGACTCTCCATATAAAACTGGTGATCATCTTTTTTAAAAAAATTTTTTTAAAGAATGATGTTGGACTCTAGATTGAGATTGTGTCTCTTTTCATTTTTAAGTTCATCTTCCCTGTTACCTTTTAATATAGGCAGCAAGGAGCAATCCTAGGGCTCCCTCGAGATCTTGATGTGAAATCTTGTCAGCCAGATATCCAAGTTCATCATTTAAAATTTTTATCTACCACCAAATATTTGAACATAATTCAGACAAGTTCTGTGCCACTGCATAGATGGCATTGCCCTTCTTCTGTCCAATCACATGTTCATTATTTTCTCTCAAAACCTCACCAAAACCACACTTAACATGCACATCTCTAGTGCCATTCTGTTACTGACGCCATATGAACTCTCTAAGCTGCTAGAGACTTTCCCTATAGCTCTCCTCACTGCCTTCTGAGCCCTCACCGGAAGTGTCTTTGGTGTTAATAATTCTACCAGCAGGCTCTCTCTTCAAGGCTATCTAGACTTTTTACCCTAAGGAGCTCTGGTAGCATAGTGGTTACGAGTCGGGCTGCTAACCTCAAGGTCAGCAGTTTGAAACTACCAGCCATTCCAGGGAAGAAAGATGAGGCGTTCTGCTCCCGTAAAGATTAACAGCTTCAGAAACCTATATGGGGTTGCTTCACGGCACAAAACCACTACCACCCAATTCCAGAACCACTTTCACAAAGCAAGTAATTGTTAGAGCAGCACTCTCACTTCTTGGTATCAAATTCTGTCTTAGTTATCTACTGCTGCTCTACCAGAAACACCACAAATGGGTGCCTTTTCAAACAGACATTTATCCCAGCCTGAGGGAAGGCTTCCTCTTTCTGTCAGCTCTGGAGGAAGGTCTTTGTCTCCTTTGGGCTGCTGTCCCTGGGTGTCCTTCATGTGGTTTGGCATCTCTCTTCTTCCAGCTCTGCTCAGATTGCTGATTTAATTTCTTTTGTATCTCAAAAGAGATTGACTCAAGATATACCCTACAGGAATCCTGTCTCATTCATGTAACAAAGAGAATTCATTCCCAAAAAAATTTATAACCACAGGCATAGAGGTTAAGATTTACAATGCATTGGGGGTGGGGTACAATTAAATACATAACACAAAATACATATGGCTATAGCAGGGTATCCCACCCTATGGTGTCCAAAGTCTCTAAGGCTGGTCCATTTAACCCAATTTATTGTTGCTAAGTGCTGTCGAGTCAGATCTGACCCATAGCAACCTTGTACAGAGTTTCTGAGGAGCGGCTGGTGAGCTTGAACTGCTGACCTTGCAATTCAAACCGATGTTGCAGTCTAGTGCATTAACCCACAGCACCACACCAGGACTTCATTTACCCCAATGGTCCACATATATATAATTTTCTATGTCTGCTGTGACATGAAATAGATTGTGAAACACTGAGTTGGGGGTAGCTCCAAGTTTGCCAATATTCCTGAACTGCCAGTCTGCTTACTCCCTCTCTTGGGTTGATCTGGCTCTCTCCCAAGAGCCTCCCTCAAACTGACTGACTTCACTATATGGTTAGAATACCATGTCCCAGAAGGTTGAGAAGAGAAAGAAAGATGAGCATACAGACCCAGTATCTAAACCACTTTGGAGTCCTTGAATATTACAGAATGAGTTCATACTCTCTTTCTAACACTTTGTCATGGTGCCCACTTGCTGTCTTCTTCTGTTCTTAAGGCCTGGCCCCACGCTGCACTGATGGAGAGAGATAGCCCCTCAAAGCAGGCCTTACCTTGGCATTCATGATGCTGGTCTCCACCCGGGCCACGCCCTGGTTCTCCCGGAACAGCTGGATCTTGCTGATCTTGCTGAACTCGGACAGCACAGTGGTGAGGTTGGTTTTGAGGTCAATAACATGGCTGATGCCATGTCGGGGTCCTACCAGGAGAGTAGTGGCTGACTGCTTTTCGTCCTGGTGACCAAGGAGGCAGACAGCAGCCACAGAAAGAAGAGCAGAGGAGATGGTGTGAGGAGATATGATAAGCAAATAGAAACTAAGATGCACTGAACCAGTTTTACTGGTTTGGAAACATCAGCGGCTGAATGCCAGGTGCTAGGTTGGATAACCTCGAGGGAAAAATGTTCTGGGATACCTGTTCTCCAGGTAGAGCCCTAGGTTACAAGTCTAAATGGACACTTTAGAACCCCTCCTGGGATGATGGAAATGGGCAGCAGAAGGTTTGGTTTAAATAAGACTATGACATTGGTGAGGTTTGTTTTTGGTGCCTTTTAAAATTGCTTTTGAATACCCTTTTCCTACTAAGCCCCAGGGACTTATTCCATTTGTTGATTCAGGCCATTCAAAGTCCAGTGTTCTGTCTGCTCAGGTGACAGCTTATGCATCAAAAGCCATTAAAACTTACATTTCTCAGTCAGAGCCTGATTTCCTTCAGACCTTGACAAAAGCCAAACTGACAAAGTAACTCTGCCTAAGGTGTTAAGGGTTGATTGGGGCTTAACGAGCTTCTCTCTCTAAGAAGAGATTTGTCTTAGACATTATAGCAGTCTTAACCCAAGTCTAGTAAGTTCTGACCCACAGCAACCCTGTATAGGGTTTCCAAAAAGTGGCTGGTGAGCTTGAACTGCCAACCCCGCTGTTCAAACCAATTTGCGGTCCAGTGCATTAGCCCACAGTGCCACACCAGGACTCCCAAAGCAATAGACAATACATATTTCAGCACGGGTAAGTGGGTGGGAGAGACGTTTACAGCTGTGTATGGGGGTCTGGTAGTGTTAGTGGTTAGGAATCGGGCTGCTAACCTCAGGGTCAGCAGTTCGAAACTACCAGCTGTTCCATGGGAGAAAGATGAGACTTTCTGCTCCCGTAAAGATTTACAGCCTCAGAAACCCTGTACAGGGTCACTATGAGTCGGAATTAACTCCATGGCACATAACAACAACAACATGGGGGTCACTATGAGTGGAAACTAACTCAACAGCAAGGGGTTTGGGGTTTATGGGGGCAGAAGAAGGGATTTCAGTGTTGCTCAGATCCCAGTATGTAAATGAATACCACTATGCCATGATGAACTGTTACTTCCTTAACTGGTTCTGACAGACTTCTTAGAGGCATCAGGTCTGAGCCCTTTGCCAGCCCATTCTCTGCCATTAGCATCACCCCGAGGAAACTTGTCTGTCTTTTATAAACTCTTTGATAAGTGGCTTTCTACCAGTGTGCCCCACAAGCATGACAGTGTGCTCCCAAGAGCATGCCAAACATCTGGATCCAGTCAGCAAGATAATTTGGATTTCTCCTCACCAGGACTCAATAGGGTAAAGAAACCTGGGGCACAATCTTAGGGGAAATAGCTGTGACTTGCCCCAGAAGGGTGTTGCTACATTGCAGGTGCTGGGCAGGCAGAGGGAAGGATGAGGTCTCAAGAGCCCGGGTGGGCAATTGCAGGAAGATGGGTGAGGATGAAATAGAGCAGGGTCTTAAACTATGGCCCATGGGCCGAATCCGGCCAACCACCTGCTTTGGTTATTGCTCAAAAGCTACGAATGGTTTCAACATTTTTAAAGGGTTGGGGGGAAAGTCAAAAGAACCTATTTTGTGACACGTGAAAATTACATGAAAAGTCACATTTCAGAGTCCATGAATAAAGAGTTACTGGCACACAGCCACACTCATTTGTTTATGCATTGTCTATGGCGATGCAACAGAAGAGTCGAACAGCTGTGACAGGGATCTGGTGGCTGTTATTGTTTTGTGTGCCGTTGAGTCAGTTCCAACTCATGGCAAACTTGTTCAGGGTTTCCGAGACCACCTGGTGGGTATGAACTGCTGACCTTGTGGTTAACAGCCCAGTGCTTAGCCTACAACGCCACACCTGGGCCCGTGCCACCTGCAAAGCCTAAAACATTGAATATCTGTCCATTTACAACACAAGTTTGGAGACATACAGGAAAGGAGATGCAAAATAGTTATAGAGGGATACTGAACACAGATTTCTTCTACTTTTTACCATTTTATATGAGACAGGGCCAGAGCATCACAAGAAGGGAGAGGCAGAAGGAAAAGGAGAAGGAAAAAGTAGGACAGCCTTAAGAAATATTTGCTGACAGAGAATGCCACCCTAAAGCCCTTTGCCCCACCCCCACCCTCACCAGAATGCCAAGAAAACCTCCCTCCCTTCCAGTGCCCTCACTGACCAGACCCACAGTGTTGAACAAAACGCCCGTGAAGGTCGGAAGTTCATTCAGGATTCGAAGATACTGGAGCTTTGCCTGTATTGCAGAGCCCTGTGGAAAAAACCCACCCAGATATATGAAGAGGCTGAGGAACCCAAGAAAACCAAGCCCATGTTCTCAGGAAGAGTCTCAACAAGGAAGAATCAGCAAGCCACAACATGAGAGTGTGAGGAGCCCCTCAGGCAAATGGCAGAAAGGTTCCATTTGAACTGCTCTAACTTCTAGCATCCCACCTCCCTTTGTAAACACCTCTCCCTCCTTATTCTTGTTCCCAAAGTATCCAGCTTCCTCATTTTGTTCTTGGTTTAATTTCAACCTCTTTCCCATCTCTGACAGTCCACTTCATGTGGATCTGTCTCCTGAGACCTTACAGACTCTGACAAGCACCTAGGCACTGGTCATTTCCTGGCGGAGGTCCCACTCAATGCATCCCTAAGTCCCAAGCCTGCTCTTTTTCTGGAATGCCTGGTGCTGTCATGCACCCAGTGTTCAAGCCAGAAACCTGAGATTCACACTGGACTTCTCCCTCAGCCTCTCACGTGAGGACCATCATTCACGAAATCGTCTTCTACCTTCGAACTCTGTCTCCAACCTTTCTATCCCTCTACTTTATCCCCACAGTTATCACCTCAATGTTCCCCACCTGTGTCAGGGTGGCAGCCAGATTACTTTAAAAACTGACACTCCTATCCCTTAACCTTCTCCAAATGGCTGTTAAAAGAAGCATCCTAAAAACACAAATTAATCACACCAGCTTCTGGCTTAAATCCTTCAGTGGGTCCCTAATGCCTAGAACTGAAGGACAAACTCCTTTCCACAGCACACAAGGCCAATTCTTGGCCTTTTCTATCTCAGGCTGGCCTTGATGTCCCTCTTCCATGCTTCCAGGGCACCCACGCCTATTACAAGATGTTAGGATTGTCTCTTGTGTTTCCCCACTCGACTGTGACTGAGTTGAGGGCAGAGACCATATCGTCTTCATGCCTGTGTCCCCAGCCCAAGTACTGCGGTGCCTCTAAAAACACTGTTTGCTGAAGAAATGGTGTGAGCACTGATGCCCTCAGCTGGGAAGAAAATCATCTGATTAAATATGCACAGCAAGGTAGGAATGGCTTAAGTCTCTGGGGAAATTTACATTTTAAAAGAGAAGCTAGTTGGTAATGAAGGAATCTGGAATGGGTGGAATATATGGGGGCAACTGTGTCCTGTGTCTACATCTGCAGGCTGATTCTAGTGCCTCTTGGGCAGGAAGCACAAACTGGCTGAGCCTTGCAAGAAGGATCTGCAGGACTGGCGAAGCAGGAAGAAGGCTTCTCTCAGAGGGAAAAGGGATGTGTACCCTAGAATGTGACCTGAGCCTTCAGCCACCTTCCAGTATGACCTATTCCCCAAGTCAGGTCATGTCCCACTCGGGCTAGAGTTTTATCTCCCAGAATACCATATCCAAAGAATCAGAAAGCTAGTAAAGGACAGACCAGACATTTCCATGGGAAACATGCGACTCTTTAGGGCCCAATACTTTCCACACAGTAGGTGCTCAATCAACATTGACTATATCAGTGCAAGGACCTGAGAATGATCTGCTCTGGTCTCCTTCAGTGGCTTGTCACTGAGCTGTTGATCGGAGAAACTCAGGCTTGGAGGAAAATCCTCTTACATCCAGCTGGGTTTGTACTTCAGTCTAAGAGAGTGGTGAGATTTCCTAGAGGGCCAGACCTTGCTGGACAACCACCCAGGAGTCCCCCGTGGCTGCTGGAGCCTGAGCAAGGCACCAAATGGCCTCCTCTGGATACCTTGGTGCCACTGGAAGGATGTGTTTGGTGAGCCTTCAGTTGTTGAGAGAGAGATTTCCGGAGGTTCTTCTCTTTGATGCCCTGTAGGAGGGAGGGGGGAAGAAAGGGTTCCAGGCCCCACTCTTTCCTAAAAGCAAAAAAAAAAAAAGAGTCAGAAATCAGTTAGAGAGAAAGTGGGGCGAAGAAAGGAAAGTGGTAACACAGAAATGTACCAACTCTGATGGGAAAAAATAATGTTGGCCATAGTCTCCTATTGGAAGCTGTAGCTCTAGGATCTAGGTTCTAGGGGTAAGAAACTTCAAGGCATTCTCACTCACATCTCATCCCATGCCCTATTTTCCTGAAAAGCAACGGCATACTTCAAGCCATGCACCTTTTCCCTATACAGCTATGTGCCTCCCTTCCAAAGGGCCCCAGCACAACTCACTCCACATTCTTGAGCGAGATCTTCTGACTAGGTCGAGTGGCTGAGACAGTGATATAGATGTGAAGGGCAGCAAGGCCCAATAGCATCTCCGGCTTGGGGTCCATTCCAAAGCGTTCTCGGATAACATCATTCCGACTCTGTGAGAGAGAGGAGCCCAAACCCATCTGTTAAAGGAGATGTTTCCACCCCACTCCCCTCATCTACTCCCTTATATCCCAGAAAAGAAGCACGGTATAGTAAGACATCCTACATCAAGGGAAGGAGGACGGTGCTGTCATTGGGGAAGATACAACAGAGGAGCCTTGAATCTGAGAGACACTATTCACTTCATTCAGCAGATGTTGAATAGTCTTCTCAGTGACAGATAGACACAATAGCAAGGAACAAGTGGGCAGAAAGTTCAGACTATTGCAAAAGGGAGACATGGTACCATTCCCTTTTATTCTTCCAGTTACAAGAGAATCTCCCATCGTTTCTCTGAGGCCTATACTCACCACCCCCCAGCCACACAGTGTTCCTCTACTAGCTCATATGGATATAATGGAAGAGAGACATTTGGGAGGGGCCCTCCATAGGACATTCTGGCCCTGAATCCCAGGCTGAGAGATAGATTGCAGGGATGACCCTGAGGGTCAAAGTCTCAGCTTTCCTTACACCAGTGGGTCATTGTTAAAATGGAACCAGGATGGGCTAGAGGACTAGGGAACTGCAATGGGATTGCTATAGCCTAAGAGAGACTGGAAAAGGAATGTTTCATCAGTGATCATCTATGTAGAGAATCCAATGGCATCTACAAAAGAATCTACTAGAACTAATAAGTGAGGGTAGCAAGTTGCAGTATATAAGATCAATACACAAAAATGAAATATGGCAGCATCAATCAGAAGTTTAAATTAAAAATCAATACTAGGGGGGGAAGGGGGAAGGATAGGGGATGGGGTTTCTAGGATATACCCTTTGGTCGGAAGATGATGCATGGAGGGGATTGGAACCATGGCAATGAAATGATATACGATGGAATGAATGTAAAACTAAAGTTCTCTCATGTAAACTATCATATAATTCACAATAAAACATTTATTTTAAAAAATCAATACAAAAAATTATAATACCATCAAAAATATGAAATATTTAGGAATTAATCTGAAAAAAGATACACTAAAAAGAATCAAATATTGCCGAGAAAAATTTAGATGACCTAAATAAATGTAGAAATAAACCACGTTCATGGGTCAGAAGATTCAATATTGCTAAGATGTTGACTTTTCCCCAATTGATCTATAGATTCAACACAATCCCAACCAGAATCACAGAATGATTTTTTCTTGTTGTTGAAATTGACAAACTGATTCTAAAATTCACGAGGAAATGCAAAGTACCTAGAATAACCAAAACAATTTGAAAAAGAAGAACAAGGATGGAAGCCAAACACTACCTGATTTCAAGACTTATTATAAAACTACATTAATAAGAAAGGTGTAATGTTGGCATAAATATACACTAGTAGCTCGATGGAACAGAATACGGAATTCAAAAACAGCTGTTTTTTGGGTTTTGTTTTTAACAAAGGTGCAAAGGTAATTCATTTGAGAAAAAAATAGTCTTTTCAAAAAGGTGCTGAAATATCCATATGCCAAAAAAAAGAGAAGGACTTGGATTCATACTTCATACCATATATAAGGGGCTTTATAGAAAAATTCCTTTATCTTTTAATTCCATTTGTCCATAAACTTTTAGAAGCCCCTTGTATAAAAGTTCACTCAAGTTTAAAACAGTAAAACTTCTAGAAGAAGGAAAAGCAACAGGAGGAAATCTTTATGACCTTGGATTAGACAAAGGTTTCTTAGATATGACATTAAAAGCACAATCCATAAACAAGCAAATCTACAAATTAGATTTCATCAGAATTCAAACTCTTGTTTTGTGAAAGATACCGTTTAGAAACTGAAAGGGCAGACTTGGAGAAAATAATTGCAACAAAGGACTTGTATCCAGAATGCATAAACAACTTTCAAGACTCAGTAATAAACAACAAACAGCCCAATTAAAAAGTGAGCAAAAGATCTGAACAGACATTTCACCAAGGAAACCCTAAGTTGGCAAATAAGCACATGAAAAACTGTTCAATATCATCGGTCATTAGAAAAATTCAAGAATGGCTCAAATAAAGAATACTGATACGCAGTGGTAGCGAGGATGCAGGAAACTGGAACTTGGATATATTGCTGGTGGGATTATAAAGTGATGTTATTGTTGTTATTAAATTCTGTTGAGTCAGTTTCGACTCATAACATCTCATAAGGTTTTTGCGGAGCAATCAGTTGGTTTGAACTGATAACCTTGTGGTTAGCCATCCAGTACTTACTCTACAGTGCCAGTATTGGAGTTTCTTTTAAAAATTGAAAATGCATCTACCATTCAGTTCTTAGAAGAAAAAAAAACATGTGCCCATACAAAGACTTGTACACAAATATTCATGCAACTTTATTTGTAGTCCTCAGAAACTGGAAACAACTCAAATGCCCATCAACAGTTGAGTGGATAAACAAATTCTGGTACATCCATACCACAGAATAGTAGTCAACAAAAAAATAGGAATGAACAATAGATATAGACAAGAGTATCAACATGGATGGATCCCAAAATAATTATGCTGAGTGAAAGAAGCCAGAGCAAAATAAGTATGGTGGTGGTTATGTGCCGTGGAGTCAGTTCTGACTCATAGCAACCCTGTACAGGGTTTCTGAGGCTGTGTACGGGAGCAGAAAGCCTCATCTTTCTCCTGTGGAACAGCTATGTGCCTCCCTTTCGAACTGCTGACCCTGAGGTTAGCAGCCCAATTCGTAACCACTACGCTACCAGAGCTCCTTAAAATAAGTACATATACTGCATAAAATCATGTAGCCTGTATACTTACTTTGTTCTCTTGCTCCATATGTATGTATATATGATTGATTAGTGCCATCAATCGGTTCCAACTCATAGTGACCCTGTATAGGGTTTTTGAGTAGCAGCTGGTGGGTTTGATTTGCTGATCTTGCAGTTCAATGTTTATCCTACAGCAATACACCAGTCCTAGTGGATAAGCTTGTTGTTGTTAAGTGCTGTCGAGTCAGTTCTGACCCATAGCGACCCTGTACAGGGTTTCCGAGGGTGTAAATCTTTACGGGAGTAGAAAGCCTCATCTTTCTCCCGCGGAGCAGCTGGTAGTTTCAAACTGCTGACCTTGCGGCTACCCCCTGGAAATACTATGCACAGTTGTTATGAGTCGGAAACAACTCATCGGCACTGGACAACAGTATATTTGCATTTTATACATATATAATGGAGTCGGAAGTGACTCAATGGCACTTAACAACAACAACACACACATACACACACACACACACATATATATATATCCCCCAGAAAATGAAAATCCATCTATAAGAGACAGACAGCAGGTCATTGGTTGACTGGGGGCAACAAATTATAAAAGAACCCGAGGAGTGTTGAATATATTTAATATCTTCATTATGGTGATGGTTTCATATACATCATTTAGTATATACATATGCTAAAACTCACCGCATTATACATTTTAATTATATGCAACTTGTATGTCAATTATACCTCACGAATGCTATTGTTATTATTTTATTTTTTTAAAGAAGGAATAGAGCTGCAGTCCATATCATCACAAGGGTAGAAAGACAGGGTGGATATGGTCTTGTCATCAAATTCTAAAATATTAGAACCAAGGTAATTCCCAGAAGTTTGAGTAACATTTAGGGCAAACAAAATAAGAACTAAACTTATATAATTCATAAAGAAACCACAACTCATTGCCCCCTAGAGTACTGTTCAAGGACCATGAGGATATTTGAGAAATGGTCCTAACATTTGATGTTGTCGGAAGGGGCAGAAAGGACAACCATGATGTCTTATATAGCACATCCCAGGGGCACCATCAAAGGCAGATCAGTTTCCAGGATATTTTTCTCAAGTGCTCCATATGTCCTACAAGTACCTAAGCTCAACATATCCAAAAATGAACTTATCTTTTCCTAAAACCTATTCCACTTCTCGTATTCTCTACTTGGGGATGGTAGCAACACTACCAGATCCTCATTGAGTCAGGGTCTACCAATTCTATCTTTTAAATATTTATTGACTCTCACCCTAACTCCTTTATCACTACTTTGATTCTAGTCCTCATTATTTCTCTGGGAAACCGGAACAGCTTACTACTGGTTGGTATCTTTTCTCAGGGTATTTCTAAATTGTTGATCTGACTAGACGATTCTTCTCCATTGAACCTTACTGGGACCGAACCCTACAAGAGAATTTCTCGATGTTGGCTATATATTAGAACAACTTTGTTGTTGTTGGTAGGTGCAGTTGAGTCGACTCCAACTCCTAGCAACTCCATGCATAGCAGAAACAAAAAAACATTGCCTGGCCTTGCACCATCCTCACAATCATTGCTATCCCTGAGCCCCTTCTTACAGCTAGTGTGTCAGTACATCCCGTTGAGGGTCTTCTTCTTTTCATGGACCCTCTACTTTACCAAGCATGATGTCCTTCTCCAGAGATTGGTCTCTCCTGGTAACATGTCCAATATAAACAAGACAAAGTGCTTACTTTTTTTTTAACGTGAATTGAATGAAGGTTTACAGACAAGATCATTAGGTTTACGTTCAACAAATTATCCACTTTGTTTCATCTCATTGATTACAATCCCCTCCATGCAACAACAGTTATACCGCATCCTCCCGGGGGTTCCTATTTGCATTCTATCCTCCTTCTCATCCCTTTTCAACTTTGTCCTTAGGAAAATGTTGCCTTTTCGCTTTTGAATGATAGACCATTCCATGGTGATCATACCTTACTGGTGTTGCTGCCCCCACCCTATAACCCTATCCACTGCTTGGGTGGAAGTTGGGCATCGAGGATGAGTTCCTTTCCAGACCTGAAGGGTGGTGGAGGGCCATAGTTTCAGGTTCCTCCAGTCTCTTTCTGACCGCTAAACCCCGTCTTTTTTATTTTTAATGAAATAATTTTGAGTTTTCTCACACTCTATCCTCTAATGTGATCACTTTCAGAGCAGTTGTTACTGGTAGTTCAGAGTCGTGGAGATTGATGTTCATATGTTCCA